ATTAATATGGTCACATTAATATGGAGTATTGACTAGGGATGTCACGAGAACTGATACTTAAGTATCAAGATGATACCAACATTTTTAAGACGGCATTTGTTTTTCTACAGTACCGTAGGTACGGAGGATGCAATTCTTCCGGACCTGACGGACAGCACATACAAATACTCTAGTTGGCCGTTAAATGCCACTGGAAGAAGAACATGTAGAAGCGGTAGATGTAGAGGTGATTTGTCTATCTCTTTTAATCCCGTGCAGAGCTGTTCACCTGCATTATTAAGGAATTAAAGGTACAAGTATTGACCAGGACTCTGTATCAGCAGATATTAAATGGGGATCAACTTGATTGGGACATTTTTACCATGGTATCAAATTGTTAGGAGAATCGAGGAATGTCACAGGTACTGGTATCGACTACTACACTTCTGGTATCGTGACATCGCTAGTACTGACACAACCAATGGCTGTCCTTTCTGATGATAGTCTGCTGCATGCAGGGATCTGACTGACTGAATGAATGAGTGAGTGAATAGCCTTAGTGAAGGGTTAATAGAGCGAACACTTTCGGGATCCTGGAGTGAACAATGTGATATTCATTAGTTGATTATAAAAAGCAACTCAACTAAATAAAATATACATTCTCATCCACTGAGACTCTGTGTCATATTTATTCCAATGCTTGGCCACTATTTAGTTTGATTTGTACTGAAAACACATGTCACATATAATAGTGTGTATGTGGGATTACTGCTTTCCTTTTTGACAAGTGAGGTGTGTCAACAAATATGCATAAACAGACTGACAACTGGGTCTTACACAGTGGGCTAGCTAATGTTATCACTGTGTTATAGCTGTATGTCAACAACTGGACATATTAAAACATGCCTAGATCCATGTCTGCGCACAGCTGCATACAGCTGCGTACAGCTGCTGTTAGCAGCTCCAGCTCAGTGTCAGAGCCACAGGTAGAGCTCCTGCTGAAGGAGGATGCGCACACAGCCATTGTTGTGTCCTTATTTACCTTCATCCTCTCCCTGCACTGGGACGGGGTCCTCTCATATCCCAGCTCCGACAAGGCTCTGGACACCCGCTCGTACATGGCAGGACCGGGGGCCTTACCGGAGAACACGGTGCCCGCCACCTCCAGCTGCTGCATCCGCGCCTCCGTCAGCCTCTCGTTGCCCCAGACCGCGATGAGGGCGTTTGTCTCGGACGGGGTCCACGACATCCCCCGGCAAGCCGTGAAGCTGTTGGAGGATGAGGCCGCCGTCCGGCCCGCGGTCCCTGAGCCCACGTCCAAAGGCGAGAAGCGGTTAGGGGTCGAGGGATTGGAGTGGTATTGATTACTGTCACTCAAATCCTCCGACTCGGGGGATGGCACCTCGGTTTTCGGTATCTTTAACGGCGTCGATATCTCTGGAGAATGGTCCGCGTTACTGGACGCCGCCATGTTGCCTCTGTTGCTAAGGGGAGGGGGAGGGATGGTGACGTGCGGGGCTTCACGCGAGAAGGCACGGAGCAAAATACGGCGCGGATCCGACAAGAGTCGCAAAGGTGGATTCTGGTGCAGTTGTAGGTCAGCAAACACACAGACGATGATGCCCATATATGACCACTGCTTTGCCTCAATATATAAAGTCACTGCAGGTGTCCAGGGTGGCAGACAAACATGGCTGTGGTAGAATGTTTTTTAAAATTCTTTTTTGTAGTTTCGATCATTTAATGTAGAAATAGGCAGTTTAGGTGTACTTGTTCATTTAAAGCTGCAGTTAGACGTTTTGTCATATTTGCTGAAATTGTCAACTGTCAGACAGATAATCTGTGAAACAATCAGGTTCCTCTGGCTCCTCCTAGTGCTCCTAATGGGATTAGCAAGAATCCACCGGGCCTGAATGAAAACAACCAATCAGAGCCGAGAAAGCTTTGGTTTGAAGATAGTTGATTGTTGAGTCTCATTCCCAGGGTCCCAAAGCCTCTGTAGTTGACGTTGAGACCATATACATAGACGCCGCATCCACTGTGGAGCAGCGTGCCTACAGGGCGGCCATCTTGGAGCTAGCACGAGGCAGCAGCTGCATCAACCTACGAAGGAAAGAGGAACTCCTCAATCTCAAAGTAGAATTATTTGCTGAATTTGGACCGATTTTCCAAACGTATTGATTTGTTAAAAGACGTCACACATGTAGCTATGATACAGGGTGCTTGGAATATTTAAAAAATGCTGGTTTTTACACCCAAATACAAACTTCTACTTAATGTTATCAGCAGACGAGCTTCTGACAGAAGATTTGTGAATGAAAAGATGGCCTACAAAAGCATACAAACCAGATCTCGTGGGAGACAGCAGATCCCTATGTCTACAATAATAATAATATAATGATAATAATAGAATAATAATAATAATAATAATATAATTAACATAATGACAATGATAAGAATAAGAATAGTAATAACAAGTAACAATAATAAATAATAATAATAATTATTATATATATATATATTGTTATTATTACTCAAATGCAGTGTATACCCTTCCAAGCAAGTGCTTTTAAATAAAGACCTAAACACACCTGAACGTTTTCTGGGTTCTTTTCGTTCTATCTCTGTCTGTCTGTCTGTCTGTCTGTCTGTCATGTCTGACGTTTGACAAACAAACTCGTGAAAATAGCTTGATTTATTATCACTTATTGTGTAGAAACACTCCATAGATGTAAATCATAGACATATTATACATGTATACATGTATATATGTTATATATGTCTATGGGATGCACTGTAGGAGCGAGTGGCCCTGTTCCAAGATATTATTATTATTGCTCATTATTATCAGTTATATTATTATTATTGTTGATATTATATTATTATTGTTAATTATATCACTATCATCATTATTATTATTATCATTTATTATTATTATTGTAGACATAGGATCTTGCTGTCTCCCACGAGAATCTGGTTTGTATGCTTTTGTAGGCATCTTTTCATTCACAAAATCTTCTGTCAGAAGCTCGTCTGGCTGATAACATTAAGTAGAATTTGTATTTGGGTAGTAAAACCAGCATTTTTAAAATATCCAAGCACCTTGTATCATAGCTACATGTGTGACGTTTTTTAACAAATCAAATTAGTTTGGAAAATCGCGTCCAAAATTCAGCAAATAATCTACTTTGAGATTGAGGGAGCTTTCCTCTTTCCTTCGTAGGTTGACTGCCACCGCTTGCCTCTGCTAAGCCCTTGTCCAAAGATGGCCGGCCCGTGTGTAGGAACGCCGCTCTACGTGTAGTGGGCGGCAGCAGTCAATGCAGTGTCTAGGTATATATGTCTATGTCTATGCCTGAGACTATCCACTATCTTTCTTGGCTCTGATTGGCTGTTTGTCTACAACGAGTCAGAGGAAGCAGATTGTTTCACAGATTATCTGTTTCACATACTACTGACAGGATGTAGTGAAAGATTAAAAAAATGTGACAAAAACAATATTTTTATTGATTTATTTTAAAATTATCTCACCTTTTTTTATATATACGCTTATAGTTATGAGTCACTTATTTTGTCTCAAAAACATTGTCACTATAGGCGTCCAGGGTGGCAGACAACCAGACAAGCATTTCAGGTTTTTTTTTATTCAATAATTTAATGTGGAAATAGGCGGTGGAGGTGTTCATTTAATGTTACTACTTGCCTTTTTCACAACAGACATTTTGACTTATAGTAGGAAACGTAACATTAAGTAACATTTTTAGTAACTTTTTGTAATAGACTTTATTTGTTTGCCATTTTTGCTGAGTTATTCCAGTGTTGTAATACAAAACTATACATATTCTCTATTCATACTCATATAGGATAGCTGCAGATATAAATGTAACGGTGCTAGTCAACCCTGTTGTCTGCATTTGGCCACAAGTTCTCATCCACATCACACCATATGTCCTGTCTTGCAGTCCACCTGGGAAAGATCTTTTTGATGTCTGATTCATCTCTGGCAATCTTCTGCAGATACATCCAGGATTCTCTATTGTGTCCAAGAGGGATATCTGATCATGTGGCTGGTGGTTAAAAAAACTCCATAAGAGAAAGAATTCCTCTGTGGGGTTAAGGAATGGAGAGTAAGGTGGGAGGAAAAGTGACATCATCTTAAAACTATTTAATACAGTTAATACTGTGTAGTTGCCGTAGTGTAACGTTTGAGAAATATGCGTTCCAACTGTAAAAAATTTTAACATTTTTAGCAATAATTAGCTACTACCGGGAATGTGTCACCACATCTCATAATATGTAACAAAGATGTTTCTTATGGCAAAAACATACACAGACATTGTGCTGAAAGCGGCAAAGAGCAGTAGGCTGCTTGGCGCTTGGCGTACCTACCACCAGCACTGATTCACGTCAGTGCTGAATGATAGGTACAGTGGACAGTGAGGGTCACATTAGTCTCAGCCAGTACACATAATAAACACATTGATGTTGCTCTACAGTGTGATTCCAAATAATTTACCTGCCACCTGGTGACCTCAATTTATATTTCAGCCTAATCCAAAATGTACCAGCATTTGGTGCTTGTTAATTTTGGACCCTGTCTGCTGCTCAGTAATAGTAATGTACCTTGTATTGTGATAATATCTTAATGTTAGTACACAGACTGTGTATGAAAAGGGTTTGCTAAATGATTTATTAGATAGACAAACAAATTAGATATAATTGTCCATTGTCCACATGGGAGAATGTTGGGCCTTATTTGCTGCCAAGTGACAAAAAGTGTCATTAGAGTATATCTTTAACACTCAGTGTGTGTGTGTGTGTCCCTGACCAGCAATACAGAGCCTCAAAAACAGCCCTCATTCAATTTTCATATGTCACACAGTATATCTCAGTATATCTAAATCATGAGTATGAGGATTTATGTACTATGATAAATTACATGACAGCACATAAATCCAGAAGGTCTAAACACAGATATATCCACTAGTGAATTCACTAGTGTTCAATGTCATCACTGGGCAGTGAATGAGACCTTTTATTGGATTTTGAGGGTATAATTGGTCATTTGATGGCCCGATTGATGAATTGTGTCATTGTTTACTTCATCTTTTCCACTACAATGTTTGATTGGCCTCCCTCAGGGAGTCATTCCAGCCCGCTCTGCCATCTGCCCAGTGTTTGGCTGTGTGTGTGTGTGTGTATGTGTGTGGTCATTGAGGTCCTGACCTGGCCAAAGGGACAGTAGGATCTGTTTTGGATGAGGCTTACACGCTAGCTGTCCAATAAAGGTTAAAGACAGGAAACACACTGGACAGTCTAACCTTTACGTGTCAAAACTGCAGCTGTCAATGAGTTGTCATGTCTGCTGCCAGGAAGAGAAGACATGTGTCAGAAATAAAGTTAAACCATGTATGACTGATTGCATTTGGACTGGATAGACTTTCTGTAAGTGTGGCGCATATTGGGATTTAAATTAAATGTCCCCTGAAAAAAGGCATTGTGTGCGTATCCAAAGCCTAATATATCTTCTTCCTCTGTGCCATTGAGCTTCATTGTTGTCCAAAAACTATTAAACACATCAGTGAGTCACACTGTTGCCCTGTGTGACATGTTCCTTCATTACAAAGCTTTTGGTGGAAGAATAGCTGCTACAGCAGGGGAGCTATTGGGGATCCTTTTGATTCAGCCTGAAGATATCTCAGTGACTACCTGGGTATGCTAACATGCTAACATGGTAAGCTAAGATGTTGAACATGGCAAATGTAAACATTGTAAGCATTTTCGCATTGTCATTTTAAGCAGGTTAACATGCTGATGTTCACGTTCAGCTAAAAGCTCCATCTGCATAAGAAGAGTCTCACAGAGCTGCTTGCGGTTGGCCTTGAAATTAAAGTCCATTGTACATTTGTGGCCCTGTTTTAGAGAATCTAGAGCCGTGGTTTGGTTTGTCCATTCTGGGCTACTGTAGAAACATGGCGGTTCTAACATGGTAAAACTCTGCTAAAGAGGACCTGTTCCCTGTAATGACTGAAACAGCTCATTCTAAGGTAACAAAAATGCATTGGTTAAATACCACTGATGTAAACCTGCTTATAACTTGTCTGATCACTTATGAATAATTATTTTCATTTGAAAATGTTTCATCCAGACGCTCAGTGCAGCTCGGATCTCATGAGAAATGCTGAGGATGTTAGAAAAGTGTGCCTTATCTGGATTTTCCACCTGCACATTCAAAACCAGTAAGGTCAAGTCTTCTGTGGCCTCATTCGTGTTTTAATATTCCTAAAAGCACATCTGAACAAAATAGTAAGGATCTGTGTTAATCTATGTACCAGCAAGAGACGGCTATTATGTTCTGGGGACATGCACAGACATAACTTAAAGCTAATGAGATGTGACTTTATTTGCACATGTTCAGGACACTGGCTTCACCTTTCAGTACCAGCAGCTCTGCTGATGCCTCATGAATTTGGAGGTTGA